TTCCATATGAATTTTTGAACTATTTGTTCCAGTTCATTGAAGAATGCTGTTGGTAATTTGATAGGGATTGCATCAAATCTGTATATTGCTTTGGGCAGGATGGCCATTTTGACGATATTAATTCTTCCTAGCCAGGAGCATGGGATGAGTTTCCATTTGTTAGTGTCCTCTTTAATTTCTCTTAAGAGTGTCTTGTAGTTTTCAGGGTATAGGTCTTTCACTTCCTTGGTTAGGTTTATTCCTAGGTATTTTATTCTTTTTGATGCTATTGTGAATGGAATTGTTTTCCTGATTTGTCTTTCTATTAGTTCATTGTTAGCCCTGTTTTAATTTTATCTGTAACACTTATCACCATTTGAATTGATCTGGCTAGTTGGCTAGTTTATTATCTCAAAATATAGACCCCATGACCTTTTTGTGACAGTTGTGTCCCCAGTACCTTAGAACAGTGCCTGGCACATAGTAGGTGCTCAGTACAAATTCACTGAATGATTGAATACAAGAATAGAAGGTTAGATGGGTTGGATGACTAGGGAGCCTGTCAGAGATGAGGCTTCTCTATGGGGTAACTAGGTAGTGGTACTTCGAGTTTCAAAAAGCAGGCAAAAGAATAGGTATCAGGTAAGGAATGTCCAAATACTAGGAGATTCCCAGGTGATGAGAGTCATGTAGGTGGTCAGTTAATTGGGACCCAGCATCAAAGCATCTCAGGTACTACAAGACCATGTCAAGTGGGGAGAGGTCAAAGGGGCTGTATCCTGGGGCTGGGGGTTGGTGCCGTCTCCCCTGCTTGAGTCAGCCTGAACCTGGCCTGACTATTGGACTTGATTCCAGAGAGACTCCCCTATTCTTGGCTCATCAGCAATGAGCCATGGGGACTTGCCTGCGCCCCTTCCCCAACTGTCAGAGGCCCCTTCCCCACCCTGGGAAGCTCTCAGCGATCTGTGCACAGTCCCCTCTGTGAGTAAGATCCCAGATCTTTACCAGTGACTATACAGACATGAATCTGGCCATTCTCTGGGAAAGGGCAGCCACTCAGGAAAAGGGGCCTCTGGAGAAGGCTGGGAGTTAATAGCTTCTCTCGGGAAGTGGGAGGGGCAGGGGGAAGGTCTTGTAGCCCCTTGGGAAGTGAGGTGGGTGATAGCTCAGGCCAAGGAGAGTGACCCCACAGTCAACCCCTCCCTATTCAGGACGCAGCTGAAGCTGGAGCCAGGTCTGGCTACCGTGGCCGCCGCTCCCCTCACACCCCCCATGAGCACTTCGAGGGGCTCACGGTACTTAAGGCTGCACAGGTGAGAGGAGGCACCCATGCCCTGGTTTGATGCCCAGATGTGGAGAAGAGAGTGTGCAGGAGACTGGGCACCAGCTCCTGAGCCTCTCCTGAGGAGGGGCTCTCCCAGGACTAAGGGTGCCTGAGTGCCCTGCCAGGGATAAGGAGGGGGTGCCCTGAGACCTAGGGGCTGGGCTGCAGTCATGGAGTGGAAGGAGCCGTGGGGCCGATGGGCAGAGCTGGCTGCTGAGACTCCGAACCCACAGTCGACAGCAGTGGAAGCAGAGCCGGGCCGCGGCTGGGCCATCCTTCCAATGCTCCTTCCTGTCCCGTCCCCGTTTTTGCGGCCTGTAGCTGGCCCAGGCTGGGGCTGTGAGCCGGCAGAGTGCTAAGCTGCTTCTGGTGGTGAGCGAGCGCGTGCGGGCCTTGACGCAGGCCTACTTCTCCCCGGATCGGCCCCTTCATCTTTCCTTCACCCACTTGGTATGCCGAAGTGCCATAGAAGGTAACCACCAGGGAACCCAGCTGCTTCTCCCCGACTTCAAGCCCCTGATGGGTACTGTACACTTCAGTGCCCAAACTGTGTGGGTTTCAGTCTTCACTCCAGAAAGACTCTGACTCCCTGCCCATCTGTGGGCCCCCAGCTACAGGGCGGATGTGGGTGGTAGATGGGCACAGGAGTGCAAAGGCATTCACCAAGTCCCTTTGCTTCTTAGGAGAGCAAGGGCAGCGCATGGACCTGAGTCACCCGGTGCATGTAGACAACTGCGTCCTGGACCCTGACACCGGAGAGTGCTGGCGGGAGCCCCCCGCCTACACCTATCGAGACTACAGGTGGGTGACCCCTCTCAGTGTCAGGCAGGCGGGCCTGGGCAGGGGTCTCACTGCCCCCTGTCTACCTCCCTCCTCAGTGGACTTCTCTACCTCAACGATGACTTCCAGGGCGGGGACCTGTTCTTCACAGAGCCCAATGCCCTCACTGTCACGGTAAGTGGGGCCAGGTTGTAGGGGTGTGACAGGGAGCCCAGCTGTGGGCTCCAGATTCAAAGCAGAAGGTTCCCAGAGGCAAATGCAGGGAAATGGCTGGGCCCACCTTAACCCTTTCCTTTCCTGGCCCCCAGCCCTCCCCACCACTTGTCTGTGTTCAGGGGTTCTCCTAGCAGAGGCTGACCATGCCTCCCTGGGGCATCTCAGAGTGCCCCCCCACCCGGTCCTGCCTTCAGTATCTGCCTTACCTCCTAAAGGAGGGTGGGTGAAGCATAAGACATTGGGTCCCTATTCCAGGTAGATGCTGGGGGCTAGAACTGGGTGGAAGGAGAGGGGCAGGGGTTTTTCCTTGCCTACTGCTCTGTCTTACCCAATGACCTTCTCCACTTACCACCACCAGCTACCTATAATCCAAGTCCTCCCGGGGTGAAAAAATGTCCCCAAGAGCCTTATCCTCAGTACCCAGAGTCTTTACTTCACTCGTACCCTCAGACTTCTTCACACCCTGGGTTCAAAGGGTCCAGCAGGAAAAGTCAGAGCACCAGGGGATGGCTGCCCCTTCTCTCTCTGGCTCCAACTCCTCTAGCTCCAGTCTGGCACTTGTGCTGGCCATGTTGACCCCCATATCCCATTTGCCCCAGACAGTCCCTGAATGAAGGAGTAGAAGTGCTGGGCAAGACAGCCGACTTCTCTGTGTGTGCCCCGTCCTGCTCTAGGGAGCTAGGGCCTAGGTCTCCAAGGGGACCCATCCCTGGGGCTGAACCTGCCCTTACCCCCCAGGCTCAGGTCCGTCCTCGCTGCGGACGCCTCGTGGCCTTCAGCTCTGGGGTGGAGAATCCCCACGGCGTGTGGGCTGTGACACGGGGACGGCGCTGCACCCTGGCCCTGTGGCACACGTGGGCACCTGAGCACAGGGAGCAGGTGAGGAGGAGCTGGAGTAAGTAGGAAGGGCAGTCTGTCCTGGTGGGTGAAGGGTGGGCAGGCTGACCGGTGAGAGGCAGGGGCTGATATGACCCAGGGGGTGTCCTTGGGACAGGGTGGGTGCAGAGCATTGGGCCAGACTCTCCTTCCCATAACCAGGAGTGGACAGAAGCCAAAGAGCTGCTGCAGGAGCCAGAGGAAGAAAAAGAGGAGGAAATGCCCAGCAGAGACCCTTCCCCAGAACCTCCCAGCCGCAGGCTTCAGCGGGTCCAGGACAAGGCTGCGAAGCCACCTCGGGTCCGAGAAGAGCTGTGAGGTGCTGAGCCAGCCCCTTGGGGATGTGGCCACTTGACCTGTGAAGAGCCTCTTTGATGCCAGGACCCATGGGAAGCCCCCAGGTGACAGGGGCAGAGCAGTGACCTTTCCATCCCTGCACCCCCACCACCTTGGGAATTGTAAGGGCCAGCCAGCCCTGGACTCAGAGGTCACTGCACAGACTGGCCTAGTGCTCCCCAGGCCTGCTCCCAGCTGATGGGCCTCCAGCCCTTGGACAGAGAGAGGACACCGTGCCTCCCTGGAAAGAAATGGTGGGGTAGGGCCTGGCTGCTTCAGATGAGGGGGGCCAAGGGGAGGAGAACCCCACTGCCCTCTTCCCAGCCTGTAATAAAGAACTTGAAGGTCCCTCAGAAAGGGCCCAGTCAAGTGTATTGCGGGCTGTTTGTGTGGCTGCTTGGAGGTGGGCGTGGCCATGGCTGGCCTGGGAGGAGACAGGTGTCTTCAGGCCTCCCAGAGGCTGGGCCACTCAGGCCTGTGTTTTGTCAGGGAAATCTTGTCCACCTGCTCCCCTCATGCAAATGGATACAAATCCCCGACAGCTGCTCCTTGGGCCTCCAGCCCTAAGCCTGTCTTCCCCCTGAGCTTCGGGGAGACTTAGGGCTGCCTGATCCCTCTGGCCTCTCCCCTTAGAGTCCCAGTGAGCCCCTGTGAGTCATGGGGGCAAGGGGTGGGCCAGACCCCACATGGGAGCAGGGACAGGGTTGCCCTCCTCTTGTAATCCTTTTCCACCCAAAGTAGGGGCAGGCCTGTCATCCTTCCTGGATCCCCTGTACCTCCCCAGATCCCAGGATCAAACCCAGGGACAGCTGGTTGGGTTTGTTGAGAAGAAGGATTATCCAGATCAGTCCTTCCTAATCGCAACTCCTATCCACACCCCCCACATAGTTACTGTAACCCTCTTCCCCCACTACCCTGAGCTAAGGAACAAAATTGTGGGTGTTGACAGTGGGCCATCTCGCACCCTCATATTCTGGCTCCTGGAGTGGTTGCTAGGTAGGCCCTGACTGCCAAGGTCATCGCCGGGGGGGGGGGGGGGAAGGTCACAGCCCGAGGGCCCCTGGAGCTGTGGTTGGTACTGTTCCTTTGCACCCCTGCCAAACCCCAACCTTTAAATCCTCACAGCTTTGTTCTAATCCCATGGGGCCTGATGCTCTTATCTCTGCCTGCAGAGACTGGCCAGGGAAGCACCCCTTCAACCCCTCCTCCCCCCAGGGCTTGTGGGGGTCTGCTCCTCTCTGCAGCCTCACACTCCCCCCTCCCTTCCCCTAGGCTGGGCCCAAAGAGGCAAGGAAGCTGCCGCCTCCCTGTCCTCTCCCCTCACCCCTGCCAGTGATTTCATTTGCCTGACGTCGTTGGCCCTACCCTTCCCTACCAGTGCCCCCCCACACCCAGAGTGGGGCCAGGCCAAGTCAGCTCCCCTGGCAGCAGAGACCAGGGCAGGTGACGGGCAGGCGTGGCAGCCAAGGGAGTGAGGAGGCGCCTGGGAACTGGAGCTGGAAACCTGGGAGAGGTCCACGCAGAGCCCAAGTAAGAAGGAGGTAGCCTGGCTCTGCTCTCTGGGGCTGGGGGCCGCGGGGACTCCAGCAGGCTGCGGCCGGCTGCACAGGCCTCCAGACCTGGGGGGGCGAGCGGGGAGGTGGTGCAGGCCACCCAGTCATTTCCCTACTTCTTAGAGTGGGCTCTAGCTCTCGTGAGGAGTCCTGTGTGGGGTGTGAGGGACCGAAACATAGCCTGGCGGGGATCCCCCTATGCCTACCCCATGTCCCTGGCAGGAGCTGGAGCTACCCCTCAACCTATCAGCCATGGGGGAGATGGAGCAGCTGCGGCAGGAAGCGGAGCAGCTCAAGAAGCAGATAGCTGTAACCCCAGAACCCTCCCACTGGGGGAGCCCAAAAAACATGGAACCAGGGTCATGAGGGAGTGTGGCCTGGGGGCAAGGGGGCTAGATTCACTCTTGGGTGACGCCTTAGAGCCCCTTGACCTGGAAGTGACCAGAGCCTTTCTGAACTTGGATGACCCCCCAGCCCTAGGGCCCTCTAGCACACCTACCTCAGAGGCCCATGCACCCACCAGCCCCACCCTGCCCTTACCCTCCCCTGACATCTGCTTTCTCCCTGCAGGATGCCAGGATAGCCTGTGCCGACATTACTCTGGCAGAGGTGAGACCTCCTGTGCCTTATGGCAGGGCCTAAGGGGAGGGATGGGTCTGGGAGCTCCCTGACCAGCAGCAGCCAGCGCCCAAACTTTACTACAGCATGTTCTTGGAATGAGGAATGACATTAATGAATTCATTCAACAGCTGTATAGTGAGATCTGCTCTGGGCTAGGCACAGTATTGGAAACTAAGGATGCAGATGCTGTCTCCATCCTTGTCCATAAAATGAGTGACTAAACCCCTTTACATGGTGGTAAGGAGGAGGAGAGACAGCACCCTGTAAATCATAAAGCCCATGTGGGCTCTAATTACTCATTGTCTTACTGCTCTTCATCAATTCTAAGATGCACATTTTGACATCTCTGAAATCAAGATACATCCAACAATAGATGATGCCTTCCAATTATAACTGGCAGCATTTTTTCTTTCTTACATAAGAATAGTGCTTCTTAGAGTTGGTGGCATCTTAGATTGGGTTAAATGTTAATAATAAAATTTGCTGAACACTTACCATGAGCCAGACACTGGACTAAACTACTTAAATATATAATTTCATTGAATTTTCATGACAACGCTGTAAGGTAGATGCTATAGACCTCATTTTACAGATTAGGAAAAGGCTTAGAGAGGTTAAGTAATTTGCCTGAGATAATAAAGCAAGTAAATGGCAAGTCAAGTCTATTGACGCTGGAGCCCCAGTATAAGTCTAGACACTGATAGAGTTTCATGGGCAGAGGACCACAGATTCCAGGAGGTGCAGTTCAGGGTCATGGTGATGCCCTGGGTACCCAGTTAGAGGTGGCTGTGCCACAGTGGTGTGAGAGCAGGCTGCTAGAGGCTTGGGTCAGTGGATGTGTACATCCCTTCCTAAGTTTGTATTCGGTGGCTTCATGTTGGCAGCTTGAACTTGGTCAAGGGGGGAGTATTTATGTGATGGGAATCACCCTCCCTCCTCCTGTCATTCTCCCCCATTCCCCACTGAAGAGGCAGTAAACACTGGCCGTGCATCTTGTGGCTTGTCTGTATATCAGTCTACGCCACTCCAGGACAAGGGCTTCTTTCTCTAAGGCTGGGGGCATGACCAAGAACCACCCACAAATGAACTTGGACAGATCAGCAGCTGTCCCTGCTCTGGGTATGTACCCTGCTCACCCTGGTTTCTCATGCCCCCTTTTCTGCAGCTGGTGTCTGGCCTAGAGGTTGTGGGACGAGTTCAGATGCGGACACGGCGGACATTAAGGGGACACCTGGCCAAGATCTATGCCATGCACTGGGCCACCGACTCCAAGTGAGGCTTGAGATGCACCCAAAGGGGAACGGGAGGGGGAGGCAGGAGGGAGAGGCTTAGGTGACACGGTGGCCTCTCTCCAGACTGCTGGTCAGTGCCTCACAAGATGGGAAGCTGATCGTGTGGGACACCTACACCACCAACAAGGTACCAGCCCTGCCTCCCCGCCCTCCATCACCCTGCCCTCCTTGGGGATATTGTGCCTGCCCTTCTCTGCCCATCTGGGGGCTCAGATGCTCTTGCCTCTGCCCACACCAACCCTCCTGCAGGTACATGCCATCCCACTGCGCTCCTCCTGGGTCATGACCTGTGCCTATTCCCCATCGGGGAACTTTGTGGCATGTGGGGGACTGGACAACATGTGCTCCATCTACAACCTCAAGTCCCGTGAGGGCAATGTCAAGGTCAGCCGGGAACTCTCTGCACATACAGGTGAGCCAGAGACCCTCTAGTGGCGCCAGAGAGGTCCAGGGAAGCCTGGCCCTGACGGCTAGTGCCTCTGCAGCCAGGCATTGTCCTAACCACCTCCAGGTTATCTGTCCTGCTGCCGCTTCCTGGACGACAACAACATTGTGACCAGCTCAGGAGACACCACGTGGTGAGGACCAGACGCTGTGGATGTTGGGCTTGGAAGACAGTTCTGCTCTAGCCTTTCTCTGTGACAGCCTCCCTCCTCCCGGCAGTGCCCTGTGGGATATTGAGACTGGGCAGCAGAAGACCGTGTTTGTGGGACACACAGGGGACTGCATGAGCCTGGCTGTATCTCCTGACTTCAAGCTCTTCATTTCGGGTGCCTGTGATGCCAGCGCCAAGCTCTGGGATGTGCGGGAGGGGACCTGCCGGCAGACTTTCACTGGCCATGAGTCAGACATCAATGCTATCTGTGTGAGCCCCCACTTGCTCCAGCTCCAGGGCGCCTCATCCCCGCCACACACAGCCTTCAGTGGCCCCAGAGCCCCCGGCCCCTCCTTTTTAACTTTCCTCTTTGAAGTTATTTCACCTTATAGACAAGTTGCAAGTAATAAAAAGAGCTCCCGTGTGCCTTTCACCCATATTCACTGTTAACATGTTACCACATCTTTATTATTCTCTCGATAGAGGGAGGATAGTTAGACAGAGAGACAGACAGACATATATACCCGGTTGTAGATACAGACACATTTTGTTGGGTCTTTGAGAGTTAAGTTACAGACATCATGTCTCTTATCCCTTAAATATCTTCCTAAAAACAAGGCTGTTCTTATACACCCACTGTATAATTCTTAAAATCAAGAAATTTAACAGTGACACAATACTATGGTCTACAGCCTATGCTCAAATTTCACCAGTTATCTCAAAAATGTCCTTAGTAGCAGTGTTCTTTCTGTCCAGGAATCTGCACTGTATTTCCTTGCAATGCATCTTTTTAATTTCCTTTAAACTGGAACTGTTTTTCTGCCTTTGTCTTCCATGACACTGACATTTTTGAAGAGTACAAACCAATTGTCTGTAGACTTCCCCTCCATGTGAGTTTATCTGACGTTTCGTCATGAGATTCAGGCCATGCATTTGTGCTTGGCCTGCTCCTGCATGCTCTGATCTGGCAGACCAGCCTGTGCACAGGAGCCTGGGGCAACCTCCACCCTTCGGGCCATGTGACCTTGGGCAAGCTGCCCACCCTCCCCCCGCTTCATGTTTGCACCTGCATTGGGGAAATAACATCTTAGTGAGGAGCAAGTGAAGGGTGTAGGGGAGCCACAGGTATGCAGCTTGCAAGGGATAAATGTTAGCAATGAAGAGCACAGGGGTAAGGACAGGCAGAGGCTGAGGGAAACAGCTTGCCCTCTAGCCACCAGGGCAGAAGCCTGGGAGGGGGCAGGAGAGGCCGTGAGCTGCCAGGGTCTGAGTCCTGACCTTCAGGCCGTCTGTGTCCTCAGTTCTTCCCCAGTGGAGAAGCCATCTGCACAGGCTCGGACGATGCCTCCTGCCGCCTGTTTGACCTGCGGGCAGACCAGGAGCTGACTGCCTACTCCCATGAGAGCATCATCTGTGGTATCACGTCCGTGGCCTTCTCCCTCAGCGGCCGTCTGCTCTTGGCAGGCTACGATGACTTCAACTGCATCGTGTGGGACTCCATCAAGTGTGAGCGTGTGGGTAAGGGCCAGCCCCCTACTACAACCCTGGCCAGGCCTCTTCCCCAGCTCCCCTTGTTTGGACTCTCTTACTGCTGGCCCCGAATTGCTGGGTCACTGAGCTCTACCCTGGGAACCCAGTCCCCTTGATTCCCAACCTAGGGCCATCTTCCCTCAAAGAAAAGTCACTCTGAGCAGCCCTTCTGCACTACCCCATGCCAACAGCTGCTCCCTGCCAAATGAGCTCCTCCGGTTACCCCGGACCTGTGGGCCTTCAATGTCCAGTCAGTTCTGGCTTCGGGAGGGTCCACTGAAAGAAAGAGCAATCTCAGGGAACTATGCAATGATCAGAATCAAGAGCTAGGGTGGCCTGGGGGCCCTGACCCCAACCTAGGGGCTTATCTAGGCCCAGCCTGGTCTGAGGTTGAATCAGATAGTGTGGCCTCTTCCCTTGGGAGAGGCCAGGTACTGAATGAAGATAACACTGGCCAGAGAGTCAGGATCCAAATCTTCATTCTGTTGCTCACTTTTTGAGTGCCCTTGGGCAACTCACTTCTCTCGGCCTCAGTCTCTTCATTTGGAAACAAAGGAGGAAGATGAAAGGGTGATCTTCTCCATTGGTCTAGTGCCCATCAAGGTGCCCCTTGCTTTTCTCACAGCGCTGCCACATCCAACCTTTCCCTGTCCCCGCCGTCCCCTCCCTCAGAGAGAGTCAGGAGAGATTGCCTCTAGAGCAACCCTACCTCAGAGCTAATCCTCTTTTAGTCTCCACCAGGGGCTGCAGGACCGATGCCTGCCCCCATCCTAGGATTCCTGCGTGTGCATACATTCCCCCTGCCAAATCAGCACAGCAAATGGGCTGACACCTCTCCCTTTTACTCAGGCATCCTCTCTGGCCATGACAACAGGGTCAGCTGCCTGGGAGTCACAGCCGACGGGATGGCTGTGGCAACCGGCTCCTGGGACAGCTTCCTCAAAATCTGGAACTGAGGAGGCTGGTGGAGGGGAGGTAACAATCCATAAAGATACTCAGCTGCCCCTCCCCTGCCCAGTTCCTTGAAGGTTTCTTTCAGGTTTTCTCTTCTATACCCCAGCTGCCATTCCCACCGGGCTGTCTCCTTTGAAGGCAGGAGTATGGGGAGTGTGCCTCTGGGAGGCAACATCAAGGACACAGGGACAAGGAACGGCCCCAGCACCTCCCATGGCCTCCCCTCTCCATGGTCCTGACAGCTTCTTCCTTGATGAACAAGGACAACTGGTCCTCCCTGGCCCTTGGAAGGCCGGGCAGGCTCCCAGTCTGAGTCCTCAGGCCCTAGGAGTCCTCCCCCGGGACACTACCTCTGCCCAGACCCGGGAGGCGCAGGGTGCTCAGTCCTGCAGCCATGGCTCTGGCCTCCTTCTCCTCCAGGCTTTCTCCTTCTTCTACCTTCTTTTTCTCTGCTAAAGCACCTACAATAAAGTGTAGCACCCTGGTATAGCTGTGATTTTTGGCTTCCACCCTACTTTTGTTCCAAAAAGATACAGGTCCCACTTAAGTAATAAAATATTATAGGTGCAGTGATAAAGATTGGGTACAACAGTGTGTGCACAGAAGGTAGGGTAGAGGCAGAAGCCCAAGCCTCATGGGGGAAGGCCTGAGATGGGTCAGGAGAGGGTATTCACCAGGTGGCAGGGAGAGTGTGTGTACAACGCTTCACTATAGGCTGTGTATGGTGTGTATGTATGTGTTTATATGAGAGGCTTATGTGGAGAAGGAATCAGATTATAAAAGGCTCTGAATGCCAGGCTGAGAGTACAGACTTTATCCTAAGGACAGTGGGAACCACCGTAGAGTTTGGGGCAGTGTAGTAACATGATCTGTTTGCTCCTCAGGAAGGCAGCCCTAGCAGCAGTGAGGCTGCTCAAGGGAAGGCAGGGAAGACTGCGTGGAATGGAGGGAGACAAGATAGGAGGCTGGGGGCAAGAAATGCACAAGTGGTAGGTTGGGGGAGGGAAGGGATGCAGAAGAGATAAAAGACAAAGAATCACCCGGACTTAGGAACCAAGAATCAGGATATGGGACATTAAGAGGGAAGAATTCAAGATTCTTCTGGCCAAGGTTCAGGTTTGAGCAACTGGGTGGATAATGCTGTTAGTCACAGGCACAGAGAATAAGGATGAGCAATAGCTTTTAAAGGAAGATCACCATTTCAACTTTAGACTGCCTGACTCTGAAGTACCTGTGGGGAGCTGGATAAAGGTCAGGGTTAGAACAAGAGACCTGGAAGTTACCAGAATATAAGTTAAGTGATAGTTAAAACCCTATAAGTGAACACCTAGCAAGAGGAAAAGGCCAAGGCTAGAGCCCTGGGGCACACCAGGATTTAAGGGAGGTGTGTAAACAAGGTGTGGAGTATCAGTGGGGGGACACTCAGGCCAGGGAACGCAAGCTCCCCAGGCCACTGTTCTACATCCAGAAGACCCGTCCAAGGTTTAGGTATAAGATTTAAAAACATTATTTAAAATCACTTCCTTTAATATACAAAAGAAAAAACACACAAAACACAAAGCCCAAGGAAGTTTTCAGTCCCAGAGTTGGTAGTTTAGGGGAGTTAAGCAAGCGACCCTTTCCAGTCTCTTGGGGAAAGAAGTGGTGAGAGGGCACAGCATATCACCAGACCCCTGGTGAACCCCGCCAGGCCAGCCCAGCCTAGTTCTCTACCAAGCTGGGGAAGTGCTGATTCTCCTTGTCATGGTCCTGGCCTGGCTCCCATGCCCATCCTCCAGTTCTCAGCAGTCGTCCAGTTCCCAGTGTGGCTCCTTCTTTTAGTTCCCTAACATTTTCACTCAGGGGAGAAGGCCACTTACCCTGCAAAAGGCAGTGTGTGATGTGGGGAAGGAGTTTCAGAGAAGGCCCCTCAGGTGGCAGGGCCTCCCACCCTCCACATTGGCTTTCCTAGCTTTCACCTTCTCTCCTTTACCTGTCGTGGTGCCAGAGTCCCTGGAGAATTGTCATCCTGCAGGATGGTGAGGGGAGATCTCCCTGGTACCTTGCCATTTGGCTTCCGTCTGTTATGCTTAGAACCTAGGGAGGGAAAGGGGTTAAAGCAAGGAGCCACAATTAAAGGCTTACAGTTTATTATGTTCATCCATGGACATCATCCCAGAATATTATCGCAATGTCTCTTCCCTATACCTTGCCCTTAAATTCTGTACCTGAAGATCGGGGAGTCTCAGGGTCTCTCAAGGACGTATCTGAGCCCTGGCTGGCCATGGGGGTTTCTGCGGGCTGTCCTGCTTCCTCCCTGGAAAACGCCTGATTGGTGGGGAGCTCAGTCTGGCTCCAAGGTGGCATCTGGTCCTCAAGGGAAAACTGGGTGCCCAGAGGCAAGTCCAATTCAGAAGATGAAGGTGCCTCTAGCAGCAGAACAGGCTCTGGGGGAAGATTCGATCTGGGGGCTTCGGTCTCAAGTACTTCACTCAGCTGTTTCACCAGTGGGCTTGGGGGTTCTAGAGGGGAGAAATGAGGTGAGACAGTGACCCTCTGAAACAAGGCATTCAGAAAGGAATAAAAAATCGAGGAGCCTTAAGATTCATGTCCTCCTGGGTCTTTAAAGGATTGGGAAGAGAGAAATCGAGGTGAAAGGGAGCAAAATGTTGAGAAAAGAGTGAGATGGGTTCAAAGCAGAAGTGTGGAGGCCCCTTTAAGGAACCCTGAAAGAATGGCTTCATTTGACCCACCCAAGGATGCTAGGTGACACCCTGATCAGAATTCCCTGGGCCCAACACTTACCTCCGCTGCTGGTCTTCATAGGTGTCCGTGCAATGCCAAGGGTAGGAGAGCGGGGATCTGAGTCCTGAGCCTGATTAGGACTCTCCAGCTGCTTCTCTGCTGGTAGGTTTGGCTGTGGAGAGCTCTCCACCTATCAGGACCAAAAGCTAGAACAAGTCTGGATCCTGACTCTACTACCCTCCCAGGTCTCTAGCCTCAGGCAGGAATTGCCAAGGCTCTCAGATACTGAGCCAACTCCACCCGGATTGAGAATGTGGACAATAAGGCCTCTACGTAGAAGAGGGAGGAGGGCGTGAGGGCTCTCCCACAATCAGGTTAGGCAGAGGCCCAAGAATTCAGACAGTTAGCTTCTCTGCCTCCTCCACCGCGGACCAGAGTACCTGGATGGGAGTGCGCAGGATACCAGCACTAGGTGAACGGGGGTCCGCCACTCGAGCCAGATGCTTGTTGTGCGGCGGAGGCCGCGCTGGAGTGACTGGGACGCTCTTGGCTGAGCCCATCTCAATCAGGAGGAATAGGGTGGGGCAGGGCCCGGCCCGGGTGAGGAAGGGATGCCTGTGAGAATCGACTCAGGTCTCAGCCCCTCCCGCGACCGAGTCCGACCTTTGACGCCAGACCACCCGATCTTCCCAGCTCCCAGCTGAGGAACCTCCTGGCCTCTGGGCCAGAGGCCTCTGCGGGGATAATGACTGCTGCAGCTGACAAGGTGGTTCATTCCGAGCCTGCCGGGCCTTCTAATCTATTCACTAGTTTATTCAAATCACTTACCGGGCCCCAATGCCGCTTTTGGGTGCACAGCCGCTCGAACTTCAACTCCCAAAGCTGAGTTTCAAACCTCCCGCCACGCCCCCGTCTTGATCCTATTGGTTGAGCCAACGCAGGTCCCTATAGGTAGACTATGTGAGACCCGCCTCTATTGAAGGTAGCCATTGGGCTGGGAGGACGTCTATCATAGGGACTATAGGGCAAGGGGCACCGGTTTGGCTTGGCTTGTCCGGGAGTGACGCCGCCTTGGTGAAGGGAGTTTGGTTCCGTATCGGGCTGCAAGTTGTCCATCGTGACACTTTGAGGAGTGCCAGTCTTCGCTTTTGAGACCTTCAGTTTCCAAACCAAGTTATTTTATTTTTAAAAAAATCTTGAATTTTTACACTACTATGATAAAGGTCCAGCTGGAGACGGACTTAAGATTTTTCTGAGGCGAGAGAGATGGTGATCCTTATTGGTTAAAAGAGTTATCAATCACGCGGCACCTTCTCAAGCTCCGCCTCACTGGACAGCCCTTTTCAAATACCAAGAATACAACTGCCCTTCTATTTTCCGATTGGACAGACTCGGGAAAGTTTCTGGGATTGATTGGTTTAAACAACCGTCAGTTTCTGCTCTTCAATAGAAAGCACGCGAAGGGACTGTAGGGGTCCGAGAGTTTGAGCAACCAAAACTACGGGGCCCACTTCGCTGCTCCACCTGCGCTCTTCCCTGGGAGAGTGGGATTGGTTGTTTCGACCGTCGACTGCATTTGGAGAGCTTTTCATTGGTGTTAACCAAGAGTAGGGCACAGGGCGGAGCGCTAGTAGGCAGGCTCGGTCCGACTGCCGTTCTCGCGCGTCTTCCCTTCGGCGCATGCCCCCAGTGAGTAGTGCTCATTGGCCGGCAAGAGCAGAGGGGGGTGGGGGACTAGGACCGGTGGGAGCCGCTGTGTGTGGAGGATCTGTTGCCGGTGTCATGGCGGAGCTGAGTGAGGAGGCGCTGCTCTCAGTGTTGCCGACGATCCGGGTCCCTAAGGCTGGAGACCGGGTCCACAAAGATGAGTGCGCCTTCTCCTTCGATACGCCGGTAAGCCCGTTCCCTACGCCCGCAACGAGCACGACTTCCTTCCATCGCCCTGGTCATTCTGCCGGGGCCTGCAAGGCTTGGGCTACCGCCTCCCTGCGTTGCACCATGGGTCTTGTAGTCTCCCACGTTTACTCCCTGCCGTTGCTTTTAATTAGCTGGAGCTGTAGTGTGACTACCGCCCCCGGAAGCCACCGCGCCCGTCTTACTCGTTCCCCGTCTCAAGGAGCACTGTGGGGATTGTAGTCTTACCGCGCTCACTGCCGTTCTAATGTAGAGGCTCAACCCAGTTGCCAGACTACATCTCCCACGTGGTCC